ACCTCTTCCACCCCCCCCCCCCGCCACAAATATGGCGGCGGGGGGTGGGCGGTGCCCGCTGCGCGCGCCGCAGGGGCCGACGGGAAGCGGTTTCAAACGGCGGCGGGCGGGGAGCGGCGGCGGTAGGCCCGGTGTTTGGGGCCGGCCATGGAGTCGGCGGACGGGGCGGCGCGGACGCTGCTCAGCATCAGGCGGCTGTCGCGGGGGCCGCCGTTCGGGCGGGCGCAAGGGTTGCTGGGGCGCAGCCACGGCGGCCAGCTGCTCTCCCCGCCCGCGCCGCACTCCCAGGTAGGCCCGGGGCGATGGCGGCGGGGCCTGGCCGTCCCCTCTCAGCCTCCCGCCAGGCCCAGAGGCCGGGCCGCGCAGACTGGAGGTCCCTTTGCAAGCCCTGAAGGGGGGAGTTCTCCTTTTTTTTTTTTTTCCCTTGGATTTTAATGTGTTTTTTTTTTCACTCCCCACCCCTTAGGAAAGCGCAGACCCTCAGAAAACAGCGTTCCTGCTGCGCAAGCAGTGGGCCTTATACAGCGTGACCCCTCTCTACAAGTTCTGTGACGCTCACCTGAAGGATTACGCTCGGCTGCTGAGTGCTTTTATTGCTGCCGAGAAGCAGAAAGGATTGGCAGTGGAAGTAGGGGTTGAGCTGGACATCAAAGTGACTGTCTCCAGCGTTCCTGACCTGAAAGGTAGTGACCGAGACCAGGCTGCGATTCTCGTTCAGGTAAGGAGCCTTCCTGGTGCTAAATCCGAGAGAATAATTGCTGGAATATCTGTTGAGACTTAATAAAAGTAAGTCCTGTCTATTTTCAATTCAAACAGAACATTTAGATGATCTTTGAGGTCCCTTCCAACCCTAACCATTCTATGATTCTATTTCATAAACAATGGATGTGTTTAATTGCAGCTGCGAGTTCAACTCTTTGATAAGCTCAGTGTAAGACTACGGGGAGCAATCCTCTTATTTTTTAGCTCAGCAGTCAGTTTACTGCAAGAACTTGGACAGGTAATTTAATTTCTCGGATGAATTTGGTGTAATCCTACCTCCTGGTCCAATTAATATTTCTGAAATGTGGGCCTCAAGTGAAAGATGCTACCAAAATGCCAAGTTCAGTATGGCAATGGTTGTAGGATGTACTATGGACTGGCTTTTCTGAATGAAGCAACATAAACTCAGATTTCAGGATTGTTCCTAATGAAGTAAAAAGTGCTTTTCCTGCTGCTTGCAACAGAATTCCACACATCTTTTAGGGATGCAGTGGACAGATTGAATAACTGTATGAGCTTTACAGGAAAGAATGTTGCACGAGAGGTCCTGACAAAAATCTTCTACCAGACATTTGAAATTATAAAACAAAAGCCATCTTTGACTAAAAAAAAATCAAACTAGCTCTGTAGCATTCAAATGCTTCTTTTCCCCACCCCAGCTTTCTTTGAGATCACCGGCTTCCTCGAAAAACTCAGAAGAGAAACTGGTATGGTCAGGCTGCTTCTGCTGCGTGTTTGGAGATCATCTTTCCGAGAACATGCCAGAGGACTTCACTTGTTTACCTCTGTTTCTGGTGAACGGGGCGGAGAGTTACACATCCCTTGTTGGAAGCTGGTTTCAGAAGACTTTTGACTGCTGCTTCCGCCGTTTGGCCATCAGCCCTCTCAATCTCAGTTGGATGGCAACAATGTGGACTGGGTGCAAAGTGGACAAAAGCACATCTGCCGTGGAACTCGTTTTCTCTGTCCCCTGCCTGCCCTATCCTCTGGATATTTCATATGCCATTCATCCAGAGGATGCCACAGCTCTGTGGGACACGGTGCAAAAAACTCCAGGAGAGATCACTCAAGAAGAATGTTGCATGAGAGGTCCTGACAAAAATCTTCTACCAGACATTTGAAATTATAAAACAAAAGCCATCTTTGACTAAAAAAAAATCAAACTAGCTCTGTAGCATTCAAATGCTTCTTTTCCCCAGTTGCACGAGAGGTCCTGACAAAAATCTTCTACCAGACATTTGAAATTATAAAACAAAAGCCATCTTTGGCTAAAAAAAAATCAAACTAGCTCTCTAGCATTCAAATGCTTCTTTTCCCCACCCCAGCTTTCTTTGAGATCACCGGCTTCCTCGAAAAACTCAGAAGAGAAACTGGTATGGTCAGGCTGCTTCTGCTGCGTGTTTGGAGATCATCTTTCCGAGAACATGCCAGAGGACTTCACTTGTTTACCTCTGTTTCTGGTGAACGGGGCGGAGAGTTACACATCCCTTGTTGGAAGCTGGTTTCAGAAGACTTTTGACTGCTGCTTCCGCCGTTTGGCCATCAGCCCTCTCAATCTCAGTTGGATGGCAACAATGTGGACTGGGTGCAAAGTGGACAAAAGCACATCTGCCGTGGAACTCGTTTTCTCTGTCCCCTGCCTGCCCTATCCTCTGGATATTTCATATGCCATTCATCCAGAGGATGCCACAGCTCTGTGGGACACGGTGCAAAAAACTCCAGGAGAGATCACTCAAGAAGAGGTGGATGTTTTTATGGACTGCCTTTACTCCCACTTCCACAGACACTTTAAGATCCACTTGTCAGCTGCAAAACTGGTGAAAGTTTCTACAGCAGTTGCCTCAGCACACTGTGATGGGATGATAAAGGTGAGGTTTTAAGTAGCAAAATGTCTTAACTAATGCTGAAAAAAATAAAATAACTGTACCTGTCTCAAAATGCCTTTTTAAAATGAAGGTTTCATGTTTCTTATGACAGAATCACAGATTCTGCCTAATTTCCCACAAGAAGTTGTTAAACTCTCAGTTTTTATTAGTCATAATTAGTTCTGGAGTTGGGGCAGCCACCAATACAGTTTTCTACTACTGCATTGCAGCAGAAGCTACTAATCCTAGTCTTGGACCAGAAATAGGTGTATTAGCCACAGTATGAACACGAAAGTTTCTTTGCCCACTGGCCAAAACTTAATAAGATCCCAAACTTTAAAAAAAAAAGTTCATTAGCTTTCTATCATTGCAGTTATTCTGACACAGTCAGAAGACAAATATAATTAACCTGCTATATAGAAATAACTGTTGTGTGCATTACCCAAGAGATAGATGATCCTAAGAGCCAAAACATCTTGCTTAAAAATACTTCACTTTTAATTCTTTTTCATAAAGGTAATGGTCTCTCAGAAGAGGTATCTATAATATGCTTTAAACCATGGAGGATTAATCTTTCCTGAAGTTCCTTCATGGAATACAATATGGTCTTCTGAGATAAAGAACAGTTTGTGTAAATGCAATTGCTTATATTTGGTCTCTCTACGATGTACTGACTTCATTGTTCTGGGTACAGAGGGAATGTTAGAGGCTACAGCTGAGACCCCACTCATGTACCTCTTTCCTGGAGCAAGAATTCATCAAATGAAAGAAAATTAGCTTTGTTGGGAATAAATTCTTAATTTCAGTCTTTGTCGGACAACTGTAAACCGCTAAATATTAGTGTTGTATTGCCTGTTTTTCCTTGCAGTAGTTTAAAAGTGACTGAAACAAATTTTATGTCATGGGTAAGTAAACACAAATACTCAACTGTACAGGCTTTCTGAAGAAAGGTTCTCTCCTGGACTGTGTGTTGTGTAAACTCAGTTATGGCTCTTATAATGGGGATAATGAGTTCAAGGCAGACATATATTCAGTATGGGAAAATATGCCGGTTTCTTTGAATACCCTTAGTGTCCTACAGAAGGAGGGAGGTAGTTGAAGGAGCAGAAGTGCTAGGATTCTTGCCTTCCAACAAGCTGGAGTAGGAGCAGAGTATTTCTTAGGTGCTCTGCTTCACATGGGACAGGAGCAGAAGTCAGAGGGCTTTGAAAGGAGCAGCCTGAACCATGAGCGTTTTCCCTGTATCCAGGGTCAAAACAGCAACAAAGGTACCTTGCAAACAGCAACAGAGAAGTTGACTAATCATGTATTCAGTATGGGAAAATATGCCGGTTTCCTTGAATACCCCTAGTCTCCTACAGAAGGAGGGAGGTAGTTGAAGGAGCAGAAGTGCTAGGATTCTTGCCTTCCAACAAGCTGGAGTAGGAGCAGAGTATTTCTTAGGTGCTCTGCTTCACATGGGACAGGAGCAGAAGTCAGAGGGCTTTAAAAGGAGCAGCCTGAACCATGAGCGTTTTCCCTGTATCCAGGGTCAAAACAGCAACAAAGGTACCTTGCAAACAGCAAAAACATGCTTATCAGCACAAGTGGAATACTTAGTAGTTGGTTTCCAGCCATTTAAGGGTATGGAAATTTGGCAACTGCCACTTTTGTTTTGACATGCTTTTTTTTTTTTTTCTTCCTTACAGTTTCTACAAAGCAAATACCTAACAGGAATGCTGATGCTACTGACAGAACTAGCGATTGCTCAGATACAGTGAGAGTCACTCCAGCAAGTCCTCATGCTAAGAAGGGTTACAGTCAGAAGATGTATGCTGAAAAACTGAAACTTGCTCCTGCAGCACCTTCTTTCCTTTCATCCTGGCTGTTCAAAGTTGGACTCTTAACTCCTACACTCAACCCTGTAACAAGAGGCAATTCAATGTCATGCCCAGCAAAGACAAGCAGACGTTTTGCCTCTGCTACACAGTACAAACTTCTAATAGTTTCTTAAGCACCTTTGTAAAACAATGTATCAGTTACTCTATGTGTAGATATTACCAGGGGCTAGGAGATAAACTTCACGAATTGTTGGATGAAACTTATTGACAGGTATTTTCTGTTTCAAATAGCAAGCTCGTTTTCACTGAACTAGACAGCCTAAACTGCAGTGACTCTTGGGGCAGTCTAAATAAAAAGTCTAGCACACCTGAGAAAGGGCACATGCTCTACAACCCAGGGAAGAAAAATCCAGGTCTAACCTCCTTCCTACCTTGCTAAGGCCAGTTGGTAACTGTCATAATGTGGTCATGTCCATCCCCATTGGGCTAAGGTGAACAGCACAAGAGTGAGAAGTACCTTGTGTGTCCAGCCTGTTGGTCCTCTCAGATAAGTTAATGCACAGGAAAAGGAGGTCTGTGTATAAACTAGATATTTATTATGCTTTGCCTGATGTTTGTAGTCTTTTATGTAATCTTTTAGGGCACAGAGCTCTCATGGTTGGAGTTACAGGTGCTAAAATTTTCTACTAGATCTCTCCCTTCTGTGGCAGGTAGGAGTTGAAAGAGTTAATGTGCAGTGCCTGGCTATAGCATAAACAGAGAGGAAGTAGACTAAGTATTATGATTTTTGTATTGCTGTACTAAATAAAGATTTGTCACCTTTTGTCAATATATTGGCCTTGAGCAAAGTAAAGGCCACCTCTGTCCAATTAAGTATATACTTGTATGGTGCTTATTTCAATTATAGCTTACCTAACTAAACTAGTTGTTACTTATGAAATAATTCTGTGAGCAGCAAAATTTAAAGTCTGGTCTCCTATATGATACACTTGTAATGGCTTCACATTTGTACAGCATCTCTAAGGTCTGATGAGTTTGTGCTGTGACCTTCCCCCTAAGCCGGGATGCAAGTTTTCCCTTCTTTGCTCAAAACCCATAATTTTAGGATCTGTTTGTCCACTGTCACTAAAAGCATTCTTCATTCTTTTCCCCAGCAACATTGAGATGAACCAGCCATGCAAACATGTAACTCCCTAACATGACCTAATCGCATACCTAGTTCCTAATCTACTTTTAATAATCTATTTCCAGAATTAGCCAAAGAAACATGGACTTGTTTTTAGGTTTTGTTTGAGATGAAAATGGATTATTTCTGCTTAGTTAAGTTTGCAGTCTGTAAAGTGATTATTCTTACCCTGGTAGAAGCAACTAAGCAATCTTCTGAAGGTACTGACAGCTCAGCAGCTATTTAAACTATCACTTCTGGTGCTTTCTGGTTTCCTTTTATGAAACATCTTAAAGTTTGCTATCTTGATTCAGAGGAACACTGGGTAAAGCAGAGTAAAGTCTGATGTCACCAGCACCTGTATTTAATTTGAAAACAGGACAGTTACACCTATGATTAGTTTTAAATCTAATGCTCAGCTCTTTCCAAGAAATTTGCATAAATCTCAAAAAAAACCCTAAGAAATTCCATGTAGCCTCTTTTAACCTCTTCCTTACCTTAAGAACACACACTAATAGCCTATGAAACTCCAGTGGAGTACGTGTGTGAACTACAGCCATACTCAGCTTTCAAGAGTGATGTCTTGCTGTGTACGTGTGGTATCTACTACAGTCTAGCTGTAAGGTATTGCTGGAGTGAAAAGCTACTGGTTTGGTTTTGGGTTTTGTGGTGTTTTGTTTTTTTTTTTAAAACATGCTTATCAGCAAATTGGGGTATAGCCCTCATTGATAACTGAAGTCAAGTGAACAGAGCTAGATTTAGCCAGATAGTGCAGATACTTCCTTCCAGAAAAAGCTGGTTCTGAACGATGTGCTTCTAAGCAACTGAGAATAACACCAAACAGCAGAGCTTTAAGCCAATTTTACTTGGACTGGTACCTAAAAATAAAAAACAACCCAGGGTCTGTGTCCACCCAAACTCTGCAAAAGCATAGCCCACCGCTTTCACCCAAAGGAACAAAGAAAAGAACAGCATAGAAGAAATTTATTAAGATCGCACTATTTGTACAAGTTACTCATGCTAGAAAAAAGCATAAATGATACATGTAAACATTTGTTTACAGAATACTTTTCCTTTTAAAGGTGCAAATGATCTTCATATGTAAACACAAGAATACTGACCTTTAGGGGAAAAGAGGCTTTTAAAAAAGTTTTAATGACCCATTTATTACTGTAGTGTAATTTTTACTATATTCAAGCACATGAAAATTGGAGTTACATGAATCAAACTATGAAGTTAAAGTACTTAAGGTGTCAGCGCTGCCTTTATTCATCTCAAGAATTTACAGTCCTCTTATTCTTTTTAAAGTCAGATTAGGTAAGGTCCAAAGTTATATCAGGTGCAAAAGGTCATTCTTTCGTACTAGATAGAAATTACAGTACAAACATATCAGAACCTCGGAGTCTAAAGTTCCTCCTTCCTCTCCCCCCACCCCTGGGTACCTTTGCAGTCACCAAGCCATGACAGTTACTCCCAACGCCAGCAAATAGCCCCTCCCCTCCAAACTCTTTAACGAGCCTCATACCTTTTCCTGCTCTGAACCCTCACAGGCGAAGTTCATAAAAATCACTAAAAGAGAGGATACCATCTCATCACGGTCAATGTTTCACAACAGGAATTCTGAAGACACAGACAAGAGGCAGGAGGGCAGGGAAGGTGATGCTGGTCTAAGCTTTTTTTTCAGCAGGAGCTGACTGTGGGTCTGCTGCTGTAGCAAGAACCTGAGAGGTGAGTGTTGATCTAGGCTAGTCAGAATTAACAGACGATACCTGCATCCCAGCTTCGGACAAGAACTGGTATCTAGCAGGCAACATGAGGAAAAGGTTTTTATAAGTAAGCAACAACCAGTCGTTTGTAGGTTCATATACAGGGGAGGGGAGAGACAAAAGCTGAACTTTTGTACCATACACTGTACAGTAAAAAGGCATCATTTGAAATCCTTTTCACTCTCACCCTTTTTGGGCACTTCACTGATTCAGTCGATAGATGAGAGTTCCAGTTCTACTTCTTGCCTCCAGCAAGACTGAAAAGATATTCAGGGCACCCATCCTCACAGCTCTCCTGTACTCTAAGAGACCCTAAAACATACCACAAGGGTTGGAACCACAATAGCTGGCAGGACATAGCCCTGCCCTAACCACACCAGCTTGTCAAAACTCAAATCACACACGCACATATACATATATAAAATACATATATATATATGCACACATATATATGTATATAAAAAGCTGGAATCATCGCTGTGAGCGATACAAAGAAAATACATGATACAAATTAAATGAAAAAATAAATATACTCTGTGCACAGAAAAGCTTCTGTGTAAAGGTGGCACCTTGCAGGTCAAGTACTTTTTTTGAAGCTCTCTGTAAATAAGGCAAAAGCAATGTTTTCTGTATCACTTTCCTCTTCCACCCACCACACAGCTGCCACATCCACTGCTCACAGCAGGAGGGAAAGCAGGAAACCCACCTCCTTGCCAGACTCCCAGTATAGCATGGGGGCTCTATGTCAGCATTGTTTACGCTACGATAACTTTTACAGTTTGGTTGAATTCAAAAATGTAGACTATTCAGAAAAAAATACGGACATAAGCAACACTTATACTTTTGTCCAGTGGTTCCCTGGAGTCTGACAACGTGGTCTCCCATTGGGCACACTCGCACAGAAGTCATTTTTAGAATTCCATAAAATGAGTCACGGGCAAAGAGTTACATTGGATCTAGACCGTGCATACTAGAGCTGCAAAGAGGTCCAGTGTCAACAAGTCTCTTCAGTTTTTTCTAGGAATGAGAACCAAGGGGTCTCCCTCCCTCTTGATGCTTACCATATATGGGATTCACAGTGTGTCATTTTGATAACACCTACTCCTCCTCCCAGCCGCCGGTAGTTCATCCCACCGTACAACCTGCAAAGACAAGGTTTCAGTGGTCACACGGGTTCAGCTCCTTCCCAGAGCTACCACAGGAAAGACTGAACCAGCCCTTGTGAGCACAATTACACCATGGTTAACTTCTGGTTAAAGCAGACCATGACAAGTTGGGCAGCAGTCATTTTACAGACTTCCAAGGTAAACCCCCGGTTAATTTCTGGTTAAAGCAGACCATGACAAGTAAGTTGGGCAGCAGTCATTTTACAGACTTCCAAGGTAAACCCCTGTGTTTGATCACGCCTTTCTCTCTCAGAAATAGAAACTGCTTCTCATTTTGACACCACAGTTTTCTGCTACTCAAGCAATTGCTTGCTTTCTCCCTGTCTGGTAATGCCCAAGATAGAAAGGAACTCTGCAAGTGGTAGCTGACCTAGGGCTACATTTTGGGTAATGCAAGAGCAAGGAGAGGTTTGCTACTTACAGTTCAACTAATTTCTTCTATATTTCTAATACGCTGAATTCAGCTGATGTAACAAATATGTAACACATCCCAAGCACCATCTGTTTCTCCAAAATATGTTACTGAAATTGTGCCCGCGTTTCATATGGATATCTGAGCCCTATAGACTCCAGCATCCTACTCCCTTCAGCTGCATATTTCCCCCTGAGCCAGTGAAGTCTGCTGGCAGAAACGGGAGAAGCAAGTTCATCAAACATCTCCTACCCATGCAAGTTGTTAAACCCTGAATTGCATCAGAAGTATTTCTCAGACAGGCTACACAAATAAAAAGTATCCTTCACAGAGCAAGAAGTTCGGCAAACAGAAGAAAGAGAAGGCCACAGATGTTGATCTATATTGGATGCAGTGGGAGGAAAAAAACCACAAGCTAATACCTTGAATAACCTCCTAAACTTCTGTGAGCACTGGTCCAGGCAGTAACTCCTAACTCTAGACATCTTATTACTGTTACTGTCACTGAAAGTAGCTGAAACCACTCAGCTAGGGAATATGAAGTAGGTATTACACTCTACTTAACTGGTTTTCTCAGGAATTCAAAAGGCATTGGTCCATAACTCAACAAACAGCAGGAAGTTCCTCCACTGCTTCTGATGACAGCTTATCCCATAGGGAAAGGGTTAATCTACTAGTATTACTAGGCTGGACGGAATAAGGACGTTAATTTCTTCCTATTCCCCACCCCTGCCAGACTACTAAAGCAGCAAGAATACAGATAGGAGCTTGAAATACAATACTAATTAGCTCTGGGAATAAAGACAAAAGCAATTGCTTTCAAGTGTAGTTATGACTAGAAAAGCAATAGGAAAAATAGCCTTTCTGCTCAGTACATAGTTTTGATCAGCAATTTCATATTATTTCTCTTAGTTTGTAAATCAGATGAAAACCTTGCCGTTTTGCAGATTTAAAGGGAAAGACTATAATATGCTTGAAGTGATCTGTTTCAGCTCCTCCAAAAGGATTTGGAAACCAGAGCCTCAGCTTGAAAGCAAAAAATGAGTAGGTTGAATTCTACATCATGACTGTGAGCTCCTTCTGCTAAGGGCAAGCTTAGTTCTTTTGGGAAACAGGAGAGACTCAGCTCAAAATAAACAGAAGGGGCATCTGTCTCTCAGTGTGGTCCATTTTTGTTATGTTCAAAAGCAGCACTTGAAAACAAACTGGGTTTTGCTATGACCTTTTGCTCACTACCCAACAAGCCTGCTAAATCATTTATTTTCTCCAGGTCTCAAAAACCTATCTAAACACCATTTTCCTACCTGCAAAAGACACAATGAGATTTTATTCATTAAGTATTGATTAAATCTGTCGGGACACTGGGACAGGAAAAGTACAGAAAGCTCTCGTTTTACTTCAAAATCAAAGCTGTAATTCAAACAGAAATCTGCAAGAAAATGTTTCTCAACTG